AAAAAATGTCATAGTATAGTATGTCGTTCCAAATCATGGAAAAAAAGTCAAAAATTTGCCGTTCCAAATTATCATCATAGTAAAGCATGCTAGAAATAAATACAAAAAAACCATTGAAATATCACAATACATAATAAAGAAATACACCAACACCCAAAATTCACAGTGGAGAAGAATTTATTTTTATTTCGTACAAAGAAACTTCTCACCAAACAGACAATGTGAAAAATAAATACCTGAGAACAGCAGAACCAGTAGAATGTGAAGTTCAGTTACAAAAATAAGTCAATGAAATCTATTCCTTTTTACACATCCGTAGACACCGTTGCCTTTGTCATGAGAATGACAAACCTACAAAAACAAACACTAGTCATGTGTAGCACACATTCCCATCAGCTGAAAAATCAAACTCTTTCATGTAATGTATGATCCTGTTTCCAAAAAAGCAAAATACACCAACAAATGTAAACATAACAGAGAATCCAAACAGTATCTGAATATTAGTCTTACACATACAAAGAATTGTTAGAACAGGGCTGGGATCAGTTTACTCACAATCAGAAGCAGGAAGTGGGTCAAATTAAAGTATTAATGGACTAATCTTGAATCATTTTCTACTGATTTGAATTTAACAACCCAGCCTTGTTTTTTTTTTCTTTGCACATAGTTGTCCCCTCCAAAATAAGAGCACAGAGAACATTTTACACATTTTTACATTTTTTAACACAATCTATTATTTTATTCTTTTTTGCCTCTTCCACTTACTGCATTAACACACATCTTAGATCTAAAATATATTTAGACATTTATGTTTCTTTTGATAGTTGAAACCTCTCAGTTGATTCACTTTTAAAGATATAGAAACTATATTCAGTAATTTTTTGTGTGGTTTGATTCAATCTGGATAACAAGTGTAAAGTGTGCTTTTTTGGTCATCTTCACTGACACTAAAAATCCTACCCCTTAAATCTTATCTCACAAACAGATACTGTAAGTGGAAGGCACAGTACATTACATTAATACAGCAGCAGAACCCCTAAAATACCTGAAACTGAACTTAAAAAAAATCATACATTTCATTCTCTAAAATCATACGTTTTGCCCCACAAACAATTACAAATACAGAATTAGCAATCTTCAGATGATAAAAACATTAAAAAAAATTGTTCAATATAAATAATCTCTTAATTGTTTCTGCGTGTCACATCCGGAGATCCCTCCTCTGCAGTTATGTGTCAACCACCATGAAATATGTCCAAATACTGCAGGTGAATGTGTAAAACATAGTAAACTCAACAGCCTCTAACATGGATAATCCCTCTGTGTGAAAGAAAAATCAGCAAAGCTCCACCAGATAACTTTATATTAATTAAAAAAAAACAAATCTAAATGAGTCCTGTCAGAGTCATAAGAGTGCACTCACTTAAAGACCTTGAAGCTTCCACACTCCAAAATGTACTTCAGGCTGTTTAAAGTTCTTTAAAGGCACTTTTTCCCCTCACTGTCCACTAGTGAGTTTTCCCTTTATGTTTGTCAGCATCTCTCTGCACCTAGTTCCTTTGGCAAACAAGTAGACAATTATTCTGTTAAATATTCTGTGTAATAGAAAAGCAGGAAACAGGCATTTCACTTCATTGTTGACAGGCTAATCTTTGTGTCTGTCACACTGACAGTGAGGCTGTGAGCCCACCAGGAGCTTCGCTCTGCACTGTAAATGGTTGTAATTCCTGCTAGTCGTCAGGGGAGGGCGATAAATATGTCAGGTCTCTAATTTCCTAACATTTTACTGAGAAGTTTCCTGTAAAGAAACATTTCCTTTGAATAAGAGCTAAGCTAATTATGCAATTATTTCAAATTGGTGTACAAGTTTAAACAGTATAATTCAACACATTACGTATTATTAGTACTTGATTACATGGTTCTTTCCATGACAAACTCTAGGAAATTTCACATAACACAACAGTGGTAAATAAAGGATCCCAGTGGACTTGTGGGTTTCGTCAAATGCAGCTTATCCTTTCCCTTTTTTGGAAGAATGAATTTAGTCTCCTGCCTCTTACTGTGATAACGTGGGGGCAGGTTTAGAAAATGCCACCATACACTAAGTCATTGTAGAGATGTAGCATGGCGTGTGGAGTGTGAGGGTTCAGACTTTGGAGACGTTTGTTTGTGGCAGCTGATAATCTTCGTCTTCGTCGTCAACACTCAGGTCCAACTTCAGGTTATCCAGAGTCTGGCGGATGGTCAGAGTCTCCTTACGCCTGTTAGAGAGACATCGTGCCATCAAAATACTGAAACTGTGAAAGACTGTATATGCAGGGCTCAACAATAAGGATTGCCCGGGGCAAGTAAAACTCAAGGTTGGGCATGTAAACTAACAACTCATTTTAAAACGTGCTCCTTCGGCTCTGATGCAGCGGTCTCTCTGTCTGAAGTCACAGGCACACACTGTAACAATGTCCTGCCCACAGCCCCCATTGATATTATTTTGCGCGACGGACGCTTCATATAATAACATAACAATATACTATTTATGGTGTTATGTCATCGTGTCATGTCTGTCTCTACATGGTCATGCGTTAACAATTCTCCTCTGCTCTCTGTATTGCACACTGCGGAGTTCTGCCACACACACAGGTGAGCACGCTAGAGCGGCTCAGGCTGCATTTTCCTGACCAAACCTGACCCCGAGCCCGGTGCAGTTTGTCAGCTGACAAACTTATTGTTATGGACACTGTGTAAATAACCATCAACAGGGTGCTGTTACGCACAGACAAACAGCTGCTCGCACAGCACTCGTGCTGAGCTTGTGTTGCATTCAGGCGTTGTCACATAAATAACAACTTCCAGCACTTAAATAGGTCACAGCATAAAACAGTAGCATGTCATGTGACTTTTTACATTTGTTATATTCAAAAAAATTGTTTGTTCCTAAATCTTGACACATCTTACTGTGCACAAATGTACTGTGTATACTTAGTCCTAAAGAGCCCTTCTGGTGCCAGTAGATACATAGAAACATCCCAGCAGGCTGTGCTTTGCAAGCATACAAAAAAGTTTCACGCATGTGAAAATTATTTTTCATGTGTGTGCTTCACCTCCGCTGCTACAACTCCATCCTAGGGGAAACACTGCTGTGTGCGTTTTGTGCAACAGGTGGATGTGGTAGTCTACTGGTAGAGTAGAGAGAGAGCTAAGTAGCGTTGAAGTACAGTAGAGCAGGGCAGAGAGATGGAAGCAAAATATATTAAACCTGGTGTTAATACAGCAGAACTGGAGAGAGGGGTGAAAAATAAATAGAGGTGGGCATGGCTCAAGTAGGACGCAAAATTATAGATGGAGAACGATAGACAAATTTTTCACTTTAAGCCCTGAGACTGTCATTTTTGTGTAGGAATTAAGTTACAATACATGACATGTGTTGTTTTAATTAATAAATACAGTGTGAATAAAGATTACATAACATAATAATAACTGCAGTCTTTGGGCAAGTAGATCTGACCAACTTGCCCGACCGGGCAAGTGGAAAAAAAAAACGGTTGAACCCTGACATGTATTTGTGCCTTTAATGTAGTGGAAACTAATCTGCATGGCTACAGAAAACACACATTTCAGAGTGGTTGGCAGGTGTTACCAAGAGAAAATCTACAAAATTCCACAACAAATATGAGTGCATGTGTTTGTGCGTACTTTGTCTGCAGGTGCTGGTCGAGCAGCTGCCTCTGCAGCCGGCTGTTCGTCTCCCTCTCCTCTGCCAGCTCTCTCTGGGTGTGGCGGTACTGTGCCTCTCTCCTGCTCGCCTCCTCCTCTGCCTCGTTCAACTGACGCTTCAGAGAGCGCATCCTCTGGGTGATCTGCAGGACCAATCAGAGAGCCACGTTTAGTTTGGATAGACAGCACTTGACCTTGACTGATGACTGCTGCTGTTCACTGACCTCAGTGCTGTGACCTGTGTGTTAATGCCTCCCTGCAAAACTAAATTAATTCGGGGATACTAAGAAAGTTTAATCTCTCATCTCATTTGCTCTGGTTAAATATAATAATTTGCAAGTACTGTTATAGCCTATAAAAATAGTTATTACCTCCATTTGGGTTTGTCTTGAAGTTCTGTTTTTTTACTTGCACTTTCTTGCCTTTGGTATGTGTGATAATCTCAGAGGCCTTACAATGTGTTCACTACCCCAAGAAGAATTTTATTTTTGTAAATGTAAAAAATGTAGATTTTGTTCGTTTACTTCAGTCATTCTGCTGTTCTCTGCTACTAACCAAGAAAGGAAAAGTCATTGTCATGTTATAGCCTTGTTATATTTATATTTAATAAAAGTCTAAGCTTCAGTGCCCTCAATGTTGTGTCCTTGTGGTATCCAATGTCAATGTTTTCATGGTATTGAATTGAAGTTAGGAATTCTAGTATCTGACAACCCTAGTAGTGTGTGCGTGTGCGTGACAGTGTTACCAGGTCTTTCTGCTCAGTAGCTATCCTGTGCTCCTCCTCCATCTGATCGGTCAGATCGTTGATCCTCCTCTCCAGTTTACTGATGGTGTTTGTCAGAACAGACTTGTTCCTAAACACATCACAAACACATTAGCACATACCTGTGTATCTGCATGTTTGGTTATATTGTTATGGTTACATAATAGTTAACTTTCCTTTCCTGATTAAAAACTGAGATGCAGGGACCACACAGGTACTATCCTCCCAAAACAGTACGATGCAAGGGGCCTCTTTTTTGTATCATTTCTACCTGTCCATGCCTATTAATCACATGAGGTCCAGGTGCAGTGAATAATAATAATAATCCTAATATTCCTAAATCCTAAAATCATCAGAGGAGATAAATCAGCACATAACCTGAGTGTGTTTCTCCGCATGGGTCCCTGTAGAGCTAACGATACAATCACCAAAGCTGTTCAATAAATGAGCTGCCTGCACGACTGGGTCCAGACTAAATAATCTGAACTACAGGTGTGAGAGTAATTTTAGAATACAGACAAAAAGCCTCAGGAACATGTTTTAGTCTTTCAGTTTTCTTTTTAAAAAAGAACCCTATGACAAAATACACTTTCTGATAATATGATGAAGGATTAAGGTCATAAAGAACAAAATCTTAAAACTTGAAAATAAAGTCTTAAATCCGTGAGAATAAAGTCGTAAACCTATGAGAATAAATTGGAAAATCCACGAGAATAAAGTCGTAAACCTACGAGAATAAAGTCATAAACCTATGAGAGTAAAGTCATAAACCTACGAGAGTAAAGTCATAAACCTACGAGAGTAAAGTCGTAAATCTACAAGAATAAAGTCATATACCTATGAGAGTAAAGTCGTAAATCTACAAGAATAAAGTCATATACCTATGAGAGTAAAGTCGTAAATCTACGAGAATAAAGTGTTAAATCTACGAGAATAAAGTGTTAAATCTACGAGAATAAAGTCATAAATCTATGAGAGTAAAGTCGTAAATCTACGAGAATAAAGTCATAAATCTACGAGAGTAAAGTCATAAACCTATGAGAGTAAAGTCATAAATCTACGAGAGTAAAGTCATAAACCTACGAGAGTAAAGTCATAAATCTACGAGAATAAAGTCATAAACCTATGAGAATAAAGTCATAAACCTATGAGAGTAAAGTCATAAACTTACGAGAGTAAAGTCATAAACCTATGAGAATGAAGTCAAAATAATACAAGACTGTACTTGAATTTTAGGACTGGAAAGTCAGGTAACACGGTATAAAAAGCAACCTAGTGTGTACAAACAATGTTGGGGGTGACAGTAGATGTAAGACTATTCTCGAAATCTAAGATTTATTTATTAATTCTTTAACACGGCCCTAATCCTCCTTCATACTGATACACTGCTGGCGAAGTTGTATCAGGGGTTTGTTTGAAAGCCATGTGACTGACCTCTCCTCGGTCCTCAGGATGTTCTCCAGCTCTTTGACTTTGCTTTCCGCCCTGGAGACAACATCCTCCTGCACTCTGGAGCTTTGAAGCTCCTCCACCTCCAGACGCATCTCACGCAGCTATAGACAGAGAGACATGCTAATTAGATAAGATATTAGAAGCTCGTTGCTCGCTTTGTTTTTGTTCTTCTATTGTTCATGATGAAAAAAATAAACCTTTTAATCCTGATTTTTGACTTATAGTTATCATCAATATTCAAACTGTAACTCTAACCCTTGGAAATGCTGCATCTGTGTCATCATTACAAAGTGACTGGGAAACAGGGCAAATATTTTGGGTCTACATTAGGCTACCACAGAAATACCTGCCAATAAGTGACAAGAAAGAATAAATGCCAAAGAAGAGTTTATCAACACCATTTCTATTACACTGTTCTTCCACTGGAGAACACTGACAAGTCGATTTGTACACTTTGTAATGTAAGTTAAATTTAAGGGATCCATTTATTTTATTTTTTATTATTATTTTTAAATTATTTTTTTTATTACTATTAAAGTGTTTTATCAGTTCTTTACAGGTCTAATAAGACTGAAATACAGCATTGGAGACAGGTATTGTGTTAGATGTAGACTAAAAAAAGAAGCACACTCAGTACCTGTCTCTCCATGGAGGCCTTCTCACTTTCCAGCTGGTCGTTCAGGTCTTTCTCCTGGAGCAACTTCAGCTGCAGCTGCTCGGTCTGACAGTAAACACACAAATATCTTAATATCCAGCCGAATGAAGTCAGATGGAAAAAATGGATGTTGGACTTCTTACAGTCCTGTACAGGACAAAATAATATCAGTTAACTGTTCCCACTGTGTTTACCTGTTCGATAGCTCTCTTGTGTTTGGCAGCCCATCTTTGCTCGCTGTCATGCAGCTCCTCCAGGTCGCTCTCCATGTCGATCATCTTCTCCTGAAAGAAGAAGAGTTAAAAAAAATGTCATCATCCAAACATTTTTCAGGCAGCCTCTTATCTGAGGTCAGCTGTCTGTTGTCTCGTCAGCACAACACATTCAGGTTATTGAGAAACGGGACAGATTAAGTATCTTCAGAAATAGCGACATGATGAATATTTGGGATTATGGAATTAGCACGCTGATTGCTAAACAGGATTTGCATAATTAATACCTCATTAACCCCAACACTGATGGTTTGCATGACTGATTAATTCAAGTGGACATCTCTGAATCATTAGGTCACGTAGGCAAACATGCTGTGGATACTGTTTGAGCTACAGATGGGAATGAGCAGAGTTCACCTCAAGGATTCAGTGCTCGGCTTGGTTAGCGCTCTAAAATCCCATACAGGTTGATACTAACATATATTTCTGTGTTGAAGTCTGGTAATACTCCATAATTTTTTTTTTTCAAACAAACCAACAATAAGCTGAACCCAGTAACATTTCATCCCAGGAGGAGAAGCAAAGGTGACAACCAACATGGATGTGACTAAGTAATATTTGCTTTATTAATAGCAGCAGTGTGCTAACTGCTACCCAGACGGGGGGCATCACAAGAAGTGTCTTTTATGTGCTTTGAAGTTGCATATGGATTTTATGTTATATTAATGCACTTTTTTTTGCGACTGAATGATTTAAATCAGTACCTGAGCCTGTTTGACTTGTTTGGCCAGGTCCTCTTTGGTCTGGTTGGTGCTCTGCAGCTCCATCTGGAGGTCGTCCACCATCCTTTCAGCCTGTTTACACTGTAGCTGTATCCTCTCTCTCAGCTGGATCTCCTCTTCCAGCGTCCGCTCCTTATCAATCAGCTTACCGGAGACCTGCACACACACGTGCAAAAACACACAGATCCTGAGGGTGCATTTAAACCAAAGGTGTTCTCATTTATAATTAAAAAGCAGCAACTTTTTATCTTTTGACTTTGTTTCATTTATACAAAAACATAAAACCTAACTATAATACATGACCTGCATGTTAACTGGCTGATGTTAGTATGAAATGATAATATGTATTAGTGTTGGACAAATGAACGTACCTCTCCCTGCAGTCTGTTGACGAGGAGCTGCATTTTCTGCAGCTCCTGCTCCTTCTCCAGCAGAGACTCCTCCAGCTCCTCCACTCTCATCTGGCTGTCTTCACGCAGCTTCTGGTGCAGATTCAGCTCTGCTGAAGCCTGTGTGGATGCCTGCACGGCTTCACCTAGCTGGAGACACACAGAAACACATTAATAGGTACATACAAACATCTGGTTTGTTTCTGCTAATAACTTTTGGGAAGGTTCCCTGTACATGTCAAATTTCTCTGTACCTCTGTCTCCAGTCTGAGGATGGTTGCGTTCATCTCAGATGTCCTCTTGTCTCTGGTGTCTCTGTCCACCTCCAGCTCCTCCAGCTGTCTCTCTGCCAGCCACAGCTTCTCAGACAGAGTCTGGGCGTGCTGCGTCTGCTTCTCCAGGTTGTCCTGAAAAACAAACACACAGTTCAGAGCTCAGATTCCTCATAGAATGTGTGTGTGTCTTACTGTCAGATAACTCTCATATGTCAACTCTCAACACCTGAACGCACCAATAAGGAAGAGGTTTGGACACCATGCTCATAACTGCATTCTCATGCAGATTAATAAAACAGACCTATTGCTGAGTTCAGTAAATTGTCTATAGATTATCACTGAGTTTTATATGTGCAGTAGTTGATTTCCATATAAATATGTTTTTCTTAGCTGGATGTTTTGGTGATGCATAGTTTTCAAACATGTCATATTTCTGCATCGACTGTAATCTTCAAAAACCAGGCAGCATATGCTTGTTTATTATGTAAATTCATCAGTGCAACAGAGTTTAATTTCCGAAGTGTACCTCAGCATCCTGGATCTTGTTCTTGAGAGACTGCTGGAGAAAATTGAAGGCGTATTCCTGAGTGTTGGCCTCCACCATCATGTCCCGGGCTTCCTTCACCTCAATCTGCAAGGTGCAAAAAAAAGGAATCAGTCATTCAAACACATGGATAAGTGTGGTACTACTCATTCCATCCTGCCATCTATCTGCTCACACCTCCATCTCTCTGCATCTCTCCCCCATCGCCTGGTTCTCTCTCTCCATCTCTATCATCTGCTCTCTCATCCTCTTCATCTCGTTGTTCAGCTGAGTGTTGGTCCTCAGCAGGTCCTCGTTGTTCACCAGCAGGCCGCGCATCTCAAACCTTCACAGGGAGACACTTATCAGACTGCGATGTGTCAAACTCAAGGTTTTCACTGAGATGACAGAGAGAAGTGAAGCCAAAGAACAAGAGGAGTTTAGCTACCTCGCATCAGTGAAGCAGAAGTGTACTGAGGGTGGAGTCAGAACACTATGACATCCCTAAGGGGTGTGGTTGCAAGTGTAAAATGATTCAAATTTTAACTTGAGAGGGCCAGTAAAGACGGGAGTAACGCCACAGAAACGAAACAATGCACTGCTGTGGGTGGGGCGGCAGCAAAACACATTTTATCCACCCACAAAACAGTCCATCTAAAAAAAAATCAATGTTGTACTCGAGGGGTGGGAATCATCAGAGGCCCCACGATACCATATCATCACAATACATGAGTCAAGATACAAAATGAGTTTGATTTTAAACCTGTTGCGATATGCTGGGTATTGTGATAAAATATATTGCCAAATATTGCAATTTACTAACCTTTTTCAACTGCAAAGCATGACCCCAAAAGACAGCTTTGTCAACAGTTTTATCAATTAAAATAAAGTAGTCAGTCTGTTCATCTCCCTTCAGTCATTTTTACTGCAGCAAAATGTATCTGGTAAACTGCAAAAGTGACTGATTATTTCACTCTAGTGGGCTACACCACATTCAATTTGTATTTGTAATATTTATAATTTATACAATAAAAAATGTATACTAGGTGTCCGTGTTATTATATGACATTGTCACACATATTGGGAACATTTTGAGCTCCTTATCTTGGTGTCAAACAGCCCTTTGCGACAGGAAACTGACCCAAAAGTAAAACTCATGTATGATGTCTTCAGAGCCAGACTCCCTTGACAAAAACAGTAATTTTACGCTGCTGTAAACAGGGGTTGCTCGTCTACCGCTGCCTCTATTATTATTCAGTTTGTTTGGGTTATTGTGTGACTTTGGTGCTTTAAATTGTTAGTTCAGATTCAGGAGAAATTGCACAATAACACAAACTAACCAGCTGATCATGGCAGAAGTAGGTCAGCAGATTTCTGTGTTCAGCAGCTAAAATTACTGTTTTTGTCAATGGAGTCTGGTGGCTCTGAAGAGAGCATACTGATTCAGTTTGCCTTGGAAAGGGCTGTGTGACCGTGAGGGAAGAGGTTAAAATATTCTACATATTGGATACACAAACTGATATTGATTTTTAGGTGGCTAAAATATATATATATTTGCTGCTGTCCCCTGTTCACAGCAGTAATGTTACATTGCTTAGCTTCCATGGTGGTGCTCCCGCCTGCTTCTCCAAACGGGGGGCGGGCCGACACAGACTATGGATACTGACCTCATACAACACGAATCATAACTATCCCTCGAAAGCGTTGTGTAAAACAGGCCTCGAGTTGGATGCAATTACAATCTGTTATGGCAACTTCTTGTCACAAGACCCCTGTGAACTGTAGACCTAGTAGGTAAATAACAGTAACTAAAGTAAGCTAACATTAGCTAGTAATGTTAGCTAGCAACGTTAGCTACGAACGTTAGCTTGTAGCGTTAGCTAGCAACGTTAGCCTGGCAGCGGTGCCTTCACGTACAGAGTTGAAATGTAAGACAGTTATACTCGAGCACATTTACTCACCCGACCAAAAACAAGAGTCGCCGTTTCAGTCGGGGACCCAACCGCAAACAAAGTAGTTATAATCCACTAGTCTGTTGTGTGCTTTCATCGGCTCGCCGTAACCTTAGGTCTGGAGGAGGCGGCCATTTGTAACGACGATCGTGTCCACACCGGGCAAATCGGTCAAGTTGTGGGAACATAATCACTTTCCTTTGCTTTGTTTGGATCATATCCAACATTATGTTTCATTTTCAGAGAACACCTGCTGCCTGTAGGATCATCCAACTCTTCCCACACCTGAAATTCGCGCGCCATGTTTGTCACGTGACTGCAAAACCACACCCACCTGGCGTTCAGGTGGTGTCAGAGTAACCGGAAGTTGCGCCCGCTCAAACCGGAACAACAACACGGGAAGTCGGCGATTTTCTTAAACTCTTGTTTGATAAAGTTTTTTTTATTTGTCCAAATGAACATGTGCAAAACACAGGTTATTTATAACAGCGCATGTAAATAAAAAATATTAAAAAAGCGAACTAAGTTTATGTGACAGTTACTGTTTGTGAATTAAAAAATAGCTTTTAGAATAACAAGAAATTAGATTTTCAACAATGTTATTATTTAGGCTATAAAAATAATAAGTAATATCCCTAGGTTTTGAAATTTGGTGAATATTTTGATACACATGTTACCGAGTTGGCGTCATATATGCATAAACATAAGGGACAAAAGTAATTGGTCAGTTAATAGTTAATTTACATATTGCGTGTCAATTACTTTCACATGTAATTTCTAATATGGTATTAGGTTATATGAATGAATGATGAATATTCAGTCAGGAGAAGTTATAGGCTCTGTGTGATTGAACACAACACATAGTCTTTGTGGCATCCATGTTTTTTCCACATTTTGGCGTAAAAGCTCATGAGCACACCAAAGTTGGAAGAAAGACTTCTCTGCTTGGGGGATGGGAACATCCAAAGAGGACATGAAAGCAGCATTACACAGGTACAGTTACATAGAAAAAGAAAATGAGACCAAAGGGGAAGCAAAGAGGAGAATAAGAAAGACAGAGAAATAACACCATGTCTGACCTTATCTGATTCCTCTCCTTCTCCATCTCCACACTCTCTGCCTCCAGGAACTGGTTACGCTGGAAAACACACACACACACACACACACACACACACACACACCATGAAAATAGCTATGGGTGCAAACTACATAGGTTTAAATACCAAAATATATTATACTGCAGCACCAACTAGCAGTCATTCTGGCTCAAGAATTCTGCTACTTATGGTAACAAACCATATGTTTCCAGCAGAACTACATGTGCTTGAATCCCAAAATGAACGTGGCGAGGCTTACCTTCTGGAGGACGTCCATCTGTTTGGTCAACTCTTCTATGTAGTCTTTCTTATTTGGTGCTCCCAGAGTGGCAGAGCGCATGCTGTAGTGGGTGGTGGTGGGTAACACCTGTAGTGACAAAATTACACATTTAACAAAAAAAACTTATAGTGTGGACACAATGATAGAGTGTGTGTTATCCGTTTGTGAGCAAACGTACAGTGTTGGTGACCTCGTTCCTCCTCCTCAGAGTGTCGTAGGCAGAGAATCGGGGGCGGGAAGAGGCGAGGGTTGGCGTGGGCAGGCTCACTGGACTGGTGCTGCGGCTGTTGAAGCTGTACAGGTTCATCTCTGAAGTGGCAGGAGACAGTCCGCCTGTTACCTGGGGATGAGGAGAGGAGAGGGGGCAGAGAGGAGGGTCAGTATCCTGCCATAGTCAGCCTCAGAAGACCAAGCTTGAATGTTGTGTGAAACAGTTGTAAAAGAAACAACCTGCATAGTATACTATTAATGTCAATTTTAGATAAAACACTAGATATTTGAAGGATTTTGTTTACATCCAAATTGTGTTGCCTGCTTAAATATCAATTTATTATTATTCGGTGATATTAAGAGTGTCTCTAAAGCTACGTTATCTTATAAAATACAGAAATAAGGAACTTTTTTTCCACAACATACCTTGAATTCAGACATTCGGTACATGGGGTTGTAATCCATGGAGGAAGTCGTGGCGTATGGACTGTTGAACACTCTGGGAGGGCTCTCAACACCCCACTGTACAAACAAATAAACAAACAAGACAGCAATGATTTGATGGCAAACAACAGAACAACAAATGGAGAGAGAAACAAGAGAGCCAGACAGAAAATACAAAAGCCAACAATCAGTGTGAGGACAGAGGGCTCTAACTTCACTGCTGTAAACTGCTACATTTCATGGACAAAATTTCCAAACTACTTCATGACTTTTCAAGGATCCATTTTTAATTTCACTTGCCTGGCATTTTTTCCAAACATATCAGATTCAAACTCTGGCATGGGTTATCCAAGGAAGATTACTGTAACAAAGTCATTACCTACAACAATATTCCATGAGTTTTCCAAAACACTGAATAAGTTTAACTAATTCCATGACTTTTTTTTTCAGGCCTGGAAATGTGATTGTGAAATTCCATGGCCTTACCAGGTTTTCCATGACTGTAGGAACCTTAATCAAACATGAACAACAACCCTGATAATGTCATACATTTAACACTGCATTAGTCTCCTAACTGTTATTAAAATAAAAAAAATCAACAACTTAAAATGTTTTTATTTAACATGTGAGCACATGATGAAGAGGCACATTAAGCTTGAGCGTGGAGCTCACATAGATTATTACAAAAACAGGATGTATGTTACTGGCTAATGGTAAAAAAATGATTACACTGATGACTGAATCATGATGTTATGATCAGCTGTTAATTACATATGATTATATTTGGTAAATTACCAAATGAAATACTTATATTTGCATTATTTATTATGATTTACACAAGTCAGACCTAATATTGCATTAAACGTGCTTACATTCATTAGATTTGATTGATTTGAGGCACTCTTAACATTGTATAATTCAGAGTTTCTCATACTTTCATAAGACAAATCTCTTTTTGTTGAACATCTTCACAATTTTAAGATCTAAAACAGGTTAAAAAGTCAGAAGAAGTTGAGAAACTCTGGTGTAATTGAGTATTGTGAAAACAGTAATCAGGGCGGCCAATAAGAAACCTTAAATCTGTGTTTTGTCCAGGCGATGGCGTTGTTCAACAACTGGAAAGGAAAAATTCTATTATACATTGGCTGCATAAAACATGTATCATCTGTCATATTTTGCTGGAAATACTTGAACACTGGGTCGGTCTCTCTGGGACCAGACAGAGATAGCCCACCTGACTCCAATTTTAAAATCATTACATTGGTTACCTGTCTGTCACAGAATTAATTTCAAAATTCCTTTATTGGTTTTTAAATCACTGAATGGCTTTGCCCCAACTTATCTGTCCGACATAGTCAAGATATATGTGCCTGCTAGACCCCTAAGATTCTCTGACTCAAATCTTTTGACCGTTCCAGAGGTCCGTTGCAAAGTGAGTCAATTTAGTTACTCACTTGAGAGTAGATTTCTATTTCTGTACGTTAAAAAAAAAAAGAAGAAAAGATGCCAGCACTCACAAATGTCCTTTTGGTAAATTTAATAAACCAACTTGGGTGGCGTTACCAGAAACACAGACGTTTCGACACAAAGTGTTCTTCACTGTGAGTATGTTAATCATCATTACGCAATGTTTAATTAAAAGTGTCTTTTCTTTTTTTTAAAAGGTGGATTTAATTAGATTCAGGATAAGAGATGTCTAAAATCAATATGCAACCTTTAAAGCTGATTGTTGAGCGTCTTGATAATTTTGAGATCTAAAACGAACAAGACCAGGCAAAAGTGAGAAACTCTGGTATTAATAAAGTTTGTAATAACCACACCAAACATCCCCACTCTACTAACTAACTCTGGTCTTATTATTAGGTCATTAAAGTCTAATTTTAAAATATACTTCTTCTAGTTTAGTGAGAAATCAACTTGTTTCAAGACTTTTCTATGAGCAGCATCTTGAAACAAGACAGAATAAGAGAGAATACATGAAAATACCACTTTACATTTCACTGATCCTGCAGATTTTTTCACGTTTAAGACAATAATACTTTAAGGTTTCAGTAATGATAATATAAGATGTGGATTTTTGTAGTGCGTGGCCAATAAGAGACCCAAAAGCTACGTTTTGTCCAGGAGATGGCACTGTTTAATAACAGGTCCTGTGTTTCTGAATCACAGATATGACAGATATCTGATCATCATCAAAACTGTCTCTAATCTCCACAGTTCGCCTCACTCACCCTGTCAGACGTAGTGTCCCAGTCCCGTGAGGCCAGGGACTCCAGGGAACCTTTAAAGTGGTTCAGCCCCAGCCGGTTGGTCTCCCATCGCGCCAGCCTGGGGCCGTTCTCCCCCACCGTCCCGCCGCCTCCTGGGCCATCTGCATCCCTGCCGCTCAACCCGTTGGTTTTGGGCTCCTTGTTGAGGAACAGCTGATATTTCGGGTTCTGGGTGGGTGGCACGGCTCGGGGTGTGGTGGGCTCATCCTCAGACGGGCTGTCGGGCTGCTTGTTTGAATCAAACTCAGACTCCTGGAGAAGATGGGCAGAAGGTGGGGAAGGAGGGATGAAATAAACCTGACTTAGATATGTACCTCTGCTGGAGGGCAAGTACTCACCAATCAACCCGGGGGAACAAATATAGTGGTATGGATGAATTCACTGAGCATAAGCTGATATGAATATATGACACAACGAAAAAAAAACATGGCATGAAGGGGAAAGTTCTAGGGGTTTTTAAGTTCACAAAAAAAGTTTTCAGAGGGAAAAAAAGATACCTATTAATTGACACAACTGTATTAAACTTCTATGGAAGTCAACATCAACTTGTACTAGCTTTCTGCAATTTATCCCCAAATATTTCCAGCTCAGGCCTTCATCAAAGTGCTAAATGGGGTTTCTTTGAAGCTGAAGTCAACTTTTCTGGGCACTATGGAGCAGAAGAACTCTGCAAGTGCCACAAATCTCTTACGTATTTCTTAATCTTTATTGTAATGAAGAGTTTCATGTTGATACAAGCTGTAGACATGTTCCACCTGTGAATCACTTAACACTGTCTACAGGAAAAATGAATGAAACTTTTACTTCTGGAACTAGAAGTGTCCGAAATAGTCCCTCCCACTTTGTGACTTTATGAACCTTTGGTACAATCGTAATGAAGGAAGCTTCGCTTAAAACATTTGGGAGTAAACGGTGGGAGAGAAGTTGATTTTGAAGGTGGTGTGGACTTGAATCACATGACTCAGAGTCAAGTCATGAACCTAATGATTAAATATAAAAAGACTTGACTTCTACACCAAGGACTTATGACTTCACTTAGATTTAAGGCTTTTGACTAAGAGTGATCGATACTGATATCCTCCCCAAACCCAAATATTAAAGGTTGAAAAAGTCTGCAAGATTGGATTTAATTCTCTGAAAACAAGTATCAGTTCAATTCGACAGCAGCCAATCACAATCCATGATCAGTAGGGAAAGTTGTGTTTGGCAGAGCAGACTTGAAACACAAAGTTTAGAACTTGGGCTTGACTTGGGAATCGACTTTGGACTTCACAACCAAGATTTTTGGCTATGACTTTCTTGTGACTTGCAAAACAATGATTTTGCACCATCTTTGAACATACTGTAGATAATATGCACAATAAGTTGCTGCACTCATGGTTATCACCAAGCAAATTATCAGACAGAAACTCAAGCAAACATAATTCAAAAATACACAAATGTTTGCCCCAATCACTGTCATTTGTCCCAGTTACTGCAATCATGCAGTAAAAATCAACACAGCCATGGCATGAAGCTTGTTGGTATCATTTTAGGCCAAAGACAAAAATGGCAACACATGAAGCTCATTTACAGTGAAAGAATCAAAGAGAGGTTAGAGTTAAATCTGTGAGTGAGTTCTGCAATTTTGATTAGTACGCTTGAAGATGCTTCAGAATCTTGTCATGGTTTTATGCTTTCTAGCCGTCATGCGGATTAATCAGTGCTTTCATCATGCAAGAGGATGCATTTCAAAAACCTGCAGCACCATGCTGTTGTGTCGTCTTCACGCAGAGAAGATGCAGAGCTTTTCGTTTCATGCAAGGGCACCAAAATGGCTGGTCAGGAGTTTGTTTGTTTGTTTGCTTACCGATCCCATGCCGGAGTCAGCCACCGAGTCTCTACCAGAGACTGGGGTTTGCGTTTTGTTCTTTGCTTCTGAGTCAGTCTTCTCAGCGCTGCTTCCTACTGGACAATCAATTCTCGCAGTGATCTGACTAGTACTGGTGCTTCTCTGAGCGGATCGAGCCACATTCTGACCGGTCTCCCTGAACGGAGGCGTCACAGTGATGCTGGGAACTAGACCCTCATCTTGTCCGACACTAATTGGTGTGGATGGACTCGACCTAGACTTTGGAGACTCAAGAGCCTCTGCAGAAGGAGACTTTGCGACTTTCCCTGCTCCAGAGGTGGGGCTCTGTGGGGCATCCGAACCAGAGAACTTATTGATCAGGTCTTTGACGCTGCCGGCTCGGCGCAGGTTTGTACCACGGGACAGACCTGCAGCTGGTTTCTTATGATTGGCACTCCAGGCCTGCTTTGCCTCTTCTTCATTGGTGGTTTGGTGAGGACTAATTGGTGACTGGGATGAAGTGGAATCGGGTGAATGCTGAAAGAGGTGAAGACAATAACAGATCCCCAAAACAATGTTAGCCAGGAGTTTGAGTAGCACATGTAGCAGGTTAGTGGTGAGTGATATGACAGAAAATTTAGACCATGGTAGCTATCATTTCAGTATTTCTGGGTGCATTAGAACATTGTAGGCAATGATGCAAACTTTTAAGTGGGGCTGCTTTGTGGCCCGCCGGCAACGCTGTATCCACTTCTCTTTAAACAGCCATGTACCACAAGGTGTTGAGGCACAATGTGTTTACTTCCTGTTTTACTTAGGTGATAAAACCACTTAGCTGTTAATCTGTGACATGCTAAAACATAGCATAAAAAGCACAAATAAGAGAGCAGTTACCAGTCAGCAAACGAGGCAGCTACGCAGCCATATCTATCTAAACACAACACAAGCCACTGTTAGCTACTGGTCGTACCAGATCATGTAAGGATGTGGTGACAAAAGAGGCTCATGGCTAAATGGTAACCCTAGATTTGCAATAACCCTTGTGAGCTGCTTCAAGAATATTCGTCTGGCTGTTTTAAGGTATAACAAGCAGGTCTGGTTAAGGTTAGGCACAAAAAGCACTTGGTTAGGGTTAGGAAAAGGTAATAGCTGGGGTTAAATTAATCACTTGAAACATGGGACATGAAATCTTGCAGGAGTTCTTGGAAAGCTGGGGCTATCATCCAGACATAGCCGCAAAATGGAAGACGTGTTGTTACTTCCTCTTACAAACATTACAAAACATTTTCCTATAAATGTAAAAAGCAGTTAGTTTACATTAACACTTGGTTAATCTCCAACATTAGATTCAAAGACATTGTTCCATCACTTAGATTTCAACTTTAAAAGCAGCATGTTAATGGTGCGCTTTTCTCTCCCGTCTTTAGTATGTCGATGTTGTTGATTGTTGAAACGCATGCATAATGACATGAAGCCCAGTGTGTGTGGTGTGTGTGTGTGTTCCTATTCTGACATAAATCCCTCTTGAGGAAGTGCAACATCTGCTCGCTCATCTGAAAAATCATCCCCCCCCCCCCCCCCCCCCCCCCCCCCCCCCCCCCCCCCCCCCCCCCCCCCCCCCCCCCCCCCCCCCCCCCCGAAACACAACATCCCACTTTCACACAGAAATAAAAGGACAGATAAATATATAAACAGAATTTAAAATTGGAAAAAAACACAGTAAAAAAAGGAAGAAAGAGAACATGGCAACATTTTTTTTGCCAAAAAGCCACTTGATTAAATCCAACTTTAATTGAAATCATAACAAGGAAGCCGATGCCACTTAGAGAAATTAAGTGGCGAACGTCCAGGGGTTTAACTTTCGGGGCTCGAGGGTCCAAAGCATTGAGTGGCCTTAATCCAGGGTCTCGCCTGGCCGCCTCCTCCAGGGACGGTGAGCCAAGCTGGGGTGGGAGAGGAGCCGGCGCCTGGGAGGACTGAGAGGGCTGGGGTTTAGGATCGCTGCTAATCACCGCGGTATTAAAATGTTTACAGGCCGTGGTGGGATTAGCTCTGAGCTGATGATTTTTAATGTTATTATTTTTGCCCTGTGAGCTGAGTGCACTCTCCGTTTGGCCTCTCTGAGCCTCATGATATGAAGAGACAGGGACACAGTTGCTGATGATGAAATGTGTGTGTTCTTGTATTTCTGTCCTTATGTAAAGCACATTTATTGTGATGAGTTTCTCAGCATTCAGGTCAAGCTTACATGGGATCACTGGATCAGCAAACACAGTCACAGGAGATTGATTAATTAATATAATATACTCTAAATAAATGATTAAATATGATGAAAATAATTCATCATGTTTTTTTTTACAGCAGCTTATATTCTGATTTAAATGCCTAAATATGTGTGTCATTCTCTGTGTATATGGAGATGAGGAAAATACCAGAGATTCCTCTTAATATAAAACACACAAACTGTGCAGCATCATTATGACCTCAAGAGTTATTTGAGGGCTGTTTCAATGATTTGCACTACATTGTACCAACATATGCTCACAGTCTGTGTGATATCTTACGAATCAGCGCCTCCGTCAATTAGGTTAGGTTTAAGAAAAGAATCGTGGTTGGTCAAGTGATGCATTCAACCTTTTGAAACCTCAGCAAATTGGCTTGATTTCGTTCATAGACACTGAAAGAAAGCAATGAGCAATGAAAGAAGAAATAACCCCAAAAATAGCAAGAAATTGGTAAAAACAGAAAATTCCAAACAAGAAAATTTAAAAAAGAAAAAAGGAAATGACCTGAAAATAGTGTTTAAAATGTTAATAATGCCATACCATAATTTTAAATATGTAACAATAATTATCATTATGAATACAGTTTTTCCCTAGTTAAAAAAATAATTTTCTTAATCTTTTTTTTTTTTTTTTTTTTTTTTGCAATCTGTGGGACATTTCTTACCAAGCTGCTCACTGCCTTTTTCCCCATGATTTTGAAAAAAAAAAAAAATACTAATACAAGGCATCTAAAAGCAGCACAAGAAAAGTGATGTCACTCCAGGTCTCAAAAGGTTAACATAAATTTATGTACTCAACATTAAATTATGCAGGTTAGGTTTAGTAAAACAAAAATATGAGGTTTAGGTTTGGAAAGTTAAGTTAAATAGGGTAGATTTAGAAAAGTAAAATACATGACTTGGGTTTAGGAAAGTAAAGTTAGGTAGGTTGGATTTAGGGTAAGAATCATGGTTGGGTGTGGTCACGTTACATACTTAACAAAACGTGAAGATGTACCTTAAAATAACTTAAAGTTCAGCTGGTTTCCCACAAGACAGGAACACTGTTCTGCTGGGGAAAGTCCTGTGTTTGTTTGACCCATCCACCACCCTAACCTGCCTCCTTATACAGACTTTCACTCTTAATGCTCCCTCCGTCTTTACTCTCAACAGCGCAATTGTCTCATGATCACAGCCTTCATGGTTACATGGGCTATATATGAATTCTGGTGCATTACTTTTTCGTAAATATAAATAGGAAGAGTGCATAAGAGCAGTTGGATTGCACAGGTGTTTGTACAAAGCACTTAAGGACTTGACTTAATCTTTATTCTATTAGGTACGCTTGAATGTATAAATGTGATTACACCTCAGATATTCTGTACACATGGACACTCTGGAGTTAGGCATCAGAGTCCACTGACTTAAAATGTGGACTAATAGGTTTGTACACATGTACATCTACCCTGAACTTGTCCTTTCAGATGGTCTGCATTAATTTGAGCTGTTAATGACTTCTTTCTTTTTTCTTTCTTTTTTTTGTTCTACTAACCTTTTAAACCTACACAGGAAATCTGAATTTAGTTGAAAGAAATGCACCTTAAATTTTATGATATCATCGAAACGAATGTTTAGCAAAACACAGAAAGATGGGCAGACAGAGCTTCATTCAGGAAAACCAGGTCCATATTCCCCAAAGTCCTGTCCATACACACACACTTTGGTTCTCCATTCCCTGTGGCCTCACTACAGTACAGACATATGGTGTAGAGCTGTACACCATCTGACCCAGATATGTGACGGCAATGCATCCTGGGAAATACAGTGAATGCCTCACTGATGTCTGGTGCAGAAGTGCTCAGGCTTTTTTACCCCAGAATATAAGTTCAGGACCTGACATGATGACGTGCTGCTCTGATTTAGTTGAGGAGTATGAGCACACACTTTATCTTCTGTGCATTTTCCATAATGTAACTCAACACTGTCCATACCAGGCAAACTTCCACACCTACAGTTCAGTTAAATTTTGTAGTTGCTGATGACGCTGATGACATCCCTATGACATCACCAGGGTCACTTTCTCAGACTTGCCAAAGCTCCTCCATGACTCTTTTTGACCAGTAAATTAATCCCGATATGTAGAATCAGTGGGGTCGCTGCCGTGGCTCCATCTCTCAGATATTACACTAAGAAAAATGTAATTTGGTGTGGAAGGTGTTGGAAATGTTTGTAAGAGTTTACATGGATTTCTGTGATGGACAGGCTGGTTTACTCAGAGATCACACAGAGATTCAGCTCTTGGCCATCTGCACACCGAACAGTTGAAACTTTTCAAGTCGGGAACAATAAATTTGATCATCTGTCAGGACCAAACTTGCCTCCTCCGTTTTTAGCTAAAAGACTTCCAAACATTTCATTATTCCTGTGTTTGTGGCCACCTCACAGCTTTGAGGAGGATGACGAAGACAAACATCGTCAGGTCAAATTCAGTTCACAGTGACTCCAAAAATTCTAAAAGGAAGGGTGTTTCCTCATGACATAAAATCTTAGGAGAGAAACTGAGAAAAATGTTGCTGGTTTGAAATGTTTTCTACTTTCCTCCGCTTGTGTGACAGCTCTTATTTATGTTCCAATTTCTCCTGATTGTTTTCTAGCTTCTTTGACAGCTTACCAGATCTGAACCATAGCTGGGAACACGCTGGCTGATTAACATTAATTTTAGCTTGGCTTGTTATTAGCTAGTAACCAGCTTCTCGCGGACAACTCTGTAGAAGGAAGGATGGCTGTCTTCACCACAGAACAATAAGCATTGTCTTCTCATGAGGTTAAAGAGTAGCCACAAGCTCATTAAGACACTTAATTCTACTGCTATCATCACTCTTTGCTGCCTGCCGTCTTCACACCAACACTCCGAGAGAGCTGCTTCCCTCCACACACACCCTCACAGGTTACCTACAAGGCCACTGCCCTTAGAGGGGAAAACAGGTGAGCTGGTTACAATAGGTGTTGTTTAGCTTCTGCTTGTTTTCTAGCTACTTCGAAATGTTTTCCGTTCTAGCTTCTTCTGTTTATTTCCTTGCTTCTGGTTGTTCTCCAACTTCTTTTTTTAGTTTATTTTGGTTGTCTTCTGGCTGGTTTTTGAATTTCTTCTGAATGTCTTCTAGCTTCTCCTGATTAGTTTTAGCTTCTTCCAGCTGTGTTCTACCTTCTACAGGTTGTTTTTCTAGCATACTCTGGTTATTCTCAAGTTCTTTCAGGCAGTTTTTTAAAAGGG